TGATAAGTGCCCCGTCTGTTTTTTTGAACACTCAAATTCAGATCCAAGTAGGGTTTACACATTGGCATGGTTGTTACATCTCTTCAGTCTCTCATTTTCTTAAAGTGGTTACAAACAGGCTGAGAGTGGTTTAGTTTAATCCAGTGAGCAGGGAAGGGCCAGGTTTCATGGTCACGTGGGATCCAAATCCTGGCTTGACCATTTGGGCAGGTTATTTGACCTCCTTCCCTTTGGCCTCCCCTTATTTAAGATGGGATGAAAATCCTCCTTACCTTGGGGGGCTGCGATGAGGTTCCATCTCTATAATTTACATGCATGTAAATTAGTGCATGCATGTAAATCTGATGATCACCCAGCACATAGTGCGTGTGCAGGATACATTAGCTGTGCTGTTTAACAGGCAATATAGTGTTGTGGTTAAGAGTTTGGTTCTTGAACCAGTCTGCTTAGGTTCAAATTCTGATTCTTCTTCTTTCTAGGTGAGTGACCTTGAGCAAATTGCATAACTTCTCCATGCTCAGTTTCCTCTTCTAATACTTATACTTCAGAGGGGTGGATTAAATGTGATAACTCAAGTAAAGAGCATAGGAAAATACCTGCATGACACACTATTATTGTTCTTTTGAAGCTTGAGTGGGTCTAGTGAGTAAGATCCCCCCACCCCTTCCACTCCTCATACCCAAGCTGAGAGAGTGACAAGGAGTTAACAAGATGGGTGGGGAGGGGGCTAAATATCATGCTTATTATTTGATTGGAAAATGTGGCTTTGGCCAACAGGCTTGCTGAGATTGCACCCCAGAATTGATTTTATACTCTGTATTTAGGCAGTTCTAGAATTTACCAGGCCCGCCCCCAGGAGAGCAAAAGGAATCTGTGATATCTGAGGCTGCTGCAGACTTCCCAAAGGGAACTCTGGAGGCCTTGTGCAGGCCTGGGGCCTTCCCTAAAGTGCCCAGGCAGACATCTTTGCCCTCCCTGGGTCAGGGTAGGAAGCCAGGAGTGCGTCAGTGTCATGCCCCCACTCTCCACCAGCTCAAGTCACTTGGGGGACAGGTTAGTTTTTGGTTTTCTAAACATGGGTGTGTACACTGTAGGCACATGATGAATTTTTGTTGAATAAGTGTAGAGTTTTAGGCAGTAATTGACTAGGAAATATCAAGTATATTCTGGATTGCTCTGTGCAATGAAAAGCTATCAGTATGACTCCTTTGGGATTGAAAGTTAAGTTTAGTTTGACCAGTATCTTTCTTTTTCTAATTTTTTGTCAGAGTAAGTTTGTATTATAACATTATGTAAGTTTCAGCTGTGCATCCTTATAACTCAATATGTGTCTATACCATGAAAACCTCCAACTTGACCCTTCACCATAAGGTTGACCCTTCTTACCTGCTAAGTACCCTCTGCCCCTATGATATTTTACAAATTCTTGGAACTTAGCAGGGGCACTAATAAGTGTGTGCTGTGTTCATAAAATATTTCATCAGAGAGAGCCAACCTTTCTCCTCCCATAAACATTTCTTCATTCATGTTTTAGCTCCAGCCAAAAAAATATAAATGGCAAAGCCAAAATGGAATTTTCCTTAAACTTTGAGGCCTTACTCACTATTCTGGTGCCAGTTTCAACCAAGCCAGAGTAGACCTTTGCCAGTTTCTACAGCAGTTTCATAATAAGTTTGTCTAAAGGTACTTGATCACAATTTGAAGTTAGAAGTTCAACAACCTTCTATTTTTTTGGAAGGGAAATGAAAGTGGCTGTTGCCACTTCCTCCTCCTACTTAGAAATAATCTTTCTTGGCCATTTCTTATGGGCCTAGATTGAATCCTCACATTCATTTTGCCCTTGTTGATGTATTCAGCATCATGTCGGTGTCAGGAACATAAAGGCGGTGTACTGTCTAAGAGGTAAAACAGTAAATAGGCAACTGCAGTATTTTACTTTGGGGGTACAAAAGACACCCTTGAGCCTGCTCAGAATGTGGCAGTGGGGGGGGGGCAGGTAGCTTGGCCTAGGAAAAGCACATATGTCTAATGTCGTGTGTAGTGGCAGTCAGGAAGATAGAAACACCTTAACAGGTACACATGCTGCTTTGAGAGATGAAGAGAGAGAGAGAGAGAGAGATCTCTTAGAATTGTCTGGCAACAGAATAGGTGTTTTATCTTTAAAAAAGTTCTAAAATGATAGTTCATATAATAAAAAAAAAACAAACCAAATAATTAGCAAGCTGGAGAGATTAGCTTTGCTTCTCCACGCTTGTTGTATGCAACACGTCAACCTGTGCTCAGCTCTGCTCTTTGTGTGAAAATGCTGACGCTTAACCAGCACCTCACACCTAGCACCACCCATGAAGTGGCAATAATAACATTTCTCTCAATGAGTTGTTGGGAGACTTGAATGCGATGACGAGTCTGAAGGTAGCCAGGATAAAGCCTTGCATTTGGGAGGCGCTCCAGAAGTGGTAGTCACAGCAGGAATGAGAAATTCGATACCATCAACTGCATCAATCTTTCTTGGTCTTTGCATTGGTTGGTTTCTGACTGGATGTCGATGTCCTCCAACATGTGACAGTGGGAATTAGGAGCAGGCATTGTGGGCTGTTGTTCTTCTGTTGCTTGTTACAAAACCTAGGGCACAGGTTCCTGAGCGTGACTGCAGGGAGCTGTTAGCCGCCCTCCCTGCCCCCAGGAGCCCTCCGTTCTTCCTTCTCCCAGGTTGCAGCTGAGCTAGGGTGCCATGGCCCATCCCTTGGGGATATTCCAGTTCTGCATCTGCTGTCTCCCCTGCGCCTCTGTGCCTCCTCCAGGTCCCTCTTCCCCCCATCCCAGGACCACAGGTGCGCACACTCTTTGAGACTTCAGTCAAGGCTTAGTGGTGCAGTTTTAGTATTGGTTCTGAAAAAAGAATTGACACACTAAATGCAGCTGCATTTGAGTTGGGTTGTTTAAGGCAGGGCTGTCATCCAGCCTGAGGCACCACTTACTGCAAACGGCACCAGGGTTTTTTTTTTTTTTTTTAAAGATTTATTTATTTATTTGTACAGAACTGGGGTACAGGCCAGAGATGCGGAGGGTGAGAGGCTTCACCAGAGACAGAGTGGGGAGCAGAACAGGCAGATCGACGAAGTACACTGCTGAGGGGAGCAGCGGGCGGGTCAGGAGAGGTCTGCCGCGCCATGTGGTCACCTCCAGGGCAGGCGGGGATCGAACTCATGCGGAAGCGGCTTTAGCTTCTCAGTGCTGTGCTTTAACCCACTGCGCCACCAGGGAGGGCCGGCACCAGGGTTTTACATGCTGCTAAGAAAAAGAAAGAAAGAAAAAACTGCCACTCTAAACCCTGGGTCATTGCGACATGCCACATATTGTAAGATAGACTCTAATCCCAGAGATCTTAAAATTGTCCATGCTAGTGATGAAATGCGGTGATTTACATTCATTTAAGAGCCTGTGCTCAGTAGTGCCTCCTACTTTGAAGAATTTCCCCTCTGAGTTGTAATTATTTCTTTTAAGTAAGAGTGGAGAAGTCTTGTTTAATTTTTGAAAATAATTACATGTGTGTTTTATATGAAGTCATTCCAAAATGAAGTGCATACTTTCATTTCATAAAGGAATGCAATACTTTTTTATTTGAAAGTCTGTACTTTCAAACAAAAACCTCAGTTTTCTTTAGGTTTATACAGGTGAGCGAAAGGCAGGCATACTTCAGGGAGTTTTTTGAAAGTAATCAAAAAGTTGGTTCGGTAATATAGCACATTCATTAAAAATGCCTTAGGAACTTTATCTACTTATTACATGAGAGGGAGTCATATTTTCATAAAAAGCAAATTTGAATCAGATATAGAAGCGCCCTTTTTGATTTAAAATTATTTGAGGGGGAAAAACTTAGAAGAAAATCTAAAGAAACAGAATGAGAGATAATTGTTATTATATCACCTAAGTATTGTAGTAATAGTTTCAGTGTTATTAAAATTTTCAGTGGGTGAAATTTATAATGGTGGCACCATATGAATGTTTCAGCTTTAATTAATTGTTCTTTTATTTTTGGCCATTTCAGCTTTCTTTAACTTTGCTACTTTAAGTAATATCACACAGTGCCGCCAACGGAATATAATCGAGTGTATTCTTGTCCACGAGGGCAGGAATTTTGATGTTTGCTTCCGCAGGCCTCAGCCCCTGGAACCAGCCTGTCACATAGTAGTCATCAGTAATTTTTTTTTTTGAATGTTATTGTGTACATTTAGTCTAAATCACTTTTTTTTTTTAAGATTTATTTACTTATGTATACAAGAACTGGGATACAAGCTAGAAGTGCAAGGAGAGAACTCTCCAGAGACAGAATGGGGAGCAGAACAGGCAGATCGACTGAAATACACTGCTGAGGGGAGCAGTGGGCGGGTCAGGAGAGGTCTGCTGACCTCCCTGGCTGGGGACTGAACTCATGCTGTAGTGGCTGCAATAGCTTCATAGTGCGATGTCTTAACCCCTTGTGCCACCAGGGAGGGCACATTTTTACTTTCTTAGAATATAAAGTTACCATTGTGATCAGAGGGCACTGCAAGGTAAGTCCTCTGCTCACACTGGAATATTGTTATTTTCTAGAAACTTCTCTACAGCCTTATACCTTTATTCAGAAGTGATTTTTTTAAAATTTGCTTTCCATCGTCCATTCTTCAGCTCCACCTCCTCTTATTTAGTGAATAAATCTTAGTGTATTAGCTCTTTTCACGGAGTCTGTATCTGTCGCTGGCACCAATAAGTAGGCAGCATTTTTAGCCAACTTTCTGCATTAGAGCAGGTTTCTTAGCAGACTGGTATTGAGATTTACCACGGTTTCTGGAACCTGACAAGACATTTCAGGCAGTGGTGTTTCTTGTATTTCCGAACCTTGGACAAGGAAAATTTAAAGAGTTTGGACAAGGATATAAAAGTTGCAAAATGATGTGTCTGATGACTGTGCAAGAATCTGGTTGAACTAACACACCTGTTCTTTCTCCTTATTTACCTAGAAACCTGATGTCCTGACCACAGGGGGTGGTAATCCAATAGGAGACAAACTTAATGTTATGACGGCAGGACCCCGTGGACCCCTGCTCGTTCAGGATGTCGTTTTCACTGATGAGATGGCTCATTTTGACCGAGAGAGGATTCCCGAGAGAGTCGTGCATGCTAAAGGAGCAGGTGAGAGCTACCCAGCAAGTGTGGGAAAAGGATGGTTTCAGAACAGCAGGGTTAAAAATCAGTGCTCAAAGGGCCCAAGCTCCTCTAAGAAAAGTCCCTAGTCTCTGTTTTTGAGAGAAAGGAAAACATGTCCATCAACAGAGGAATTAGCAATTAAATGTTTCCCTGGATTATATATAAAATACTTACTCTTACTAAATCCAAAGATAAGCTTTATTGTGCTCTATTATGCAAGTAAATGAAGAAATAAAAAATTGGAAATACAGACCCAGGCACACTGTCATTGCACGTAGATTTAGATGATATACTAACTAGGCAAAGGTGGAGCGCGCTATGTGAATTTGAGAATAGTTGTGTTATGGTGGTGAGCTTGTGGAGACTTTCCCCTTGTGTCTAAAATGTCTGTAAAACTTTCATTTTTCTTCTAGTCCAGAAATAGCAGATGGGATGGTGTTTAAAAAGAAAGCTAAAAACTCAATAGCAAAAAGAAAACTTGAAAAAGAGGAAGAACATGTTTTTCTTTCAGCTGCCTGTGCGGACTTCCACTCAGGACTTCTGATGTCTTTACCTCTCAGCCCCCCATTTCCCATGCAAGTTAGCACTGAGGGATAACAGGCCTTTGCACTTCACCCATTAGATGTTTTCCCTTCCCCATTATAAGGGAAGCTCCCGCAAGACCACTGCTTGCTCATCAATTTCTCTTGTCACCCAGTTGCCTCTTGAGGTCCTGCTGGTCTGAGTGATGGGCTCATGATTTCTGTGGTTTACCTGCTAGGTGCCTTTGGTCACTTTGAGGTCACACATGACATTACCAAATACTGCAAGGCCAAGGTATTTGAGCATATTGGAAAGAAGACTCCCATTGCAGTTCGATTTTCCACAGTTGGTAAGTTGGTCTGTTTGCATGACTGGTATTGCTTAACTAAGCCATTTCTCATTTATGGCATTCCTAATCTAATTTCAACAACTAATTTCAGGGCCTCCTTGATGGTGCAGGAGCTAAAATAGCACTGTCAAGCTATTGCCAGGCATTGTATAAGTTCAATCCCCAGCCAGGGGATCTACATGGCGCAGCAGACCCCTCCTGTCTCATCTGCTGGTCCCTCAGCAGTGTTCCAGTCGATTTGCCTGTTCTGCTCCCCACTCTGTCTCTGGGGAATGCTCTCACTCCCTGCACTTTGAGCTTCCACTCCAGTTCTTGTATGCAGAAATAAATCTTTTTTTTCTTAAAGAAAAAACTTATCAGAAAACAGGAAATAAGCACTTCTCCAAATTATAGTAAGGTTTTATAGTAGAAAAAATATTTTCAGACATGGAAGAAGTTAGTGATAATTCTATCTGTTGAGGTTTTAGGAAATCACACGTGCTGAGGCTGCTGCAGTGACTCTATGATATTTGGGAAGAATTTCCTTCTATGTGGTTGCTTCCATAGGCAGTGCAGTGTAGGAATCTTACTCAATAAGTTTGATAACATCTACCCTTTATTGAGAATTACTCTATGCCATCCATGGCTAGTGCTTTACAGATAATATTGCTGATCTATAGGTTTACCCTGCCAGGGAGGATTAGTTCTGTTTCAGAGGGGTTAAGTGATTTTTCTCATGTTGCAGAGATAGTAAGAATTGGATCTTTCATACTATGTCATAACATATAGTGCATGAGTCATTGTATTTCTATGGTGATTTGCGCATTTTAACATTTTTTAAAAGATATATTTATTTATGCTTACAGAACTGGGGTACAGGCCAGAGGTGTTGTGGGTGAAAGAATTCACTAGAGACCGAGTGGGGAGCAGAACAGGCAGATTGACGAAGTACACTGCTGAGGGGAGCAGAGGGCGGGTCAGGAGAGGTCTGCCGCGCCATGTGGGTCAGCTCCCTGGCCAGAGATCGAACTCATGCTGCAGTGTCTTCACAGAGCTTCCTAATGTGGTGCTTTAACCCATTGCACCACCAGGGAGAGCCTGCTTTTAACATTTTAAGAATAAGAAACTGTTTTAGCTCATTTTCATTTTATTAACCTCATAATCTTGACAACTCACTCACTCTATTCACTATGCTAGTCTTTCTTATTATTCTCTTCCCCTATTTTAATTTAAATTTTAACTATCTGGTTGAACAAAGTCTATCTTGTACAGATAATCTTTTCAGCTGTTATTACATACCCTCTCATCATTCTCGATTAATTCTTTTGTTTAATTTGCAGACAGAATTATTTGGTGGGTGGTAGGAACAATAACCCTCTACTAGCTCACTTTCAGGGAGTGAGTTGGAGAGAGAGACCCTGATGTGGCTGTGTGACCTTGATGAGCAGGTCCTCTTGACGAGAAGTGCTGTGTCATATCACATTTTCCCCATTTGAATCTTCCAGCTGGAGAATCAGGCTCAGCTGACACTGTCCGTGACCCTCGTGGGTTTGCAGTGAAATTTTACACAGAAGATGGTAACTGGGATCTTGTTGGAAATAACACCCCCATTTTCTTTATCAGGGACCCATTATTGGTAAGTAATGCAGTTTTTGTATTTCATGGATATTTGTTAATTTAAGCTGGTTTTAAATACTCTGTTTAGATTTGGCATTTGAGGAGAAGCACTAGGAAAGGCAAAAACAAGAGAATTTGGGCTGGCTAGATTTCCATAGTTCGTATCTTTTTATAAGATACAATGACATGCTGTTTTGGATAATAGCATGAGTTGTGAAATCTGGCACTGCTAGATCCATTGATTGAATGGGGAGAGTCCAGCTGTCCTTGTGCAGTATGGACTAGGAATAAAAAGAGGGCTTTGCCTTAGAAGCAGATCAAGGGTTTCTGCGTGCTCTGGAGTAAGGAGGAGTGATGTGTCTCTGTGTGTGTGTGTGTGTGTGTGTGCATTTTATTCCTTAAATAGAGCTTTGAGTATATTTTAAATGCCTTAAGGTATCATAGGTACTAGTTACATATATTGAGTGTACATTTTATTTTAGGTTTTGGCAGTTTAAAATTCTGGGATCGATTGTTCAGAATTATAATCCATAAACCTAGTAATAGGCAGTGTGAGATAAGACACCGTAATTCCCCTAAATGTAGTATTGAGGTTTATTTTTTCTCTCTTTCTCCATTTAGTTTCCGTCCTTTATCCATAGCCAGAAAAGAAACCCTCAGACACACCTGAAGGATGCAGACATGGTTTGGGACTTCTGGACCCTGCGTCCTGAGTCTCTGCATCAGGTGGGAATATCTCTTTATTGACTGTAGTGTATCACCTGGGATGGAGCTGTGAGTTATGCTTCATGATGCATTTCCCTGGGTCTGGCTAGTTGATTGGCTTCTGACCTTCTTACTGGGAACTTTCCTCAGATCTCTCAACCTTATAAGAATTTTATGATTATTGATATTGTTAATCTCCCTTCATTCATAGACCTTAAGTGATAGTATACTGTAAACATTATTGATTGATACTTAGCAATACTAAAGGATTAAGTCTCTAGTATGAAGTAAAACTTTTTGTATTTATTTTAATAACAAATAGATTTGTTATTAAAATAGAATGTGACTAATCAATTAGGCTAGCTCTCAGATTTGTTTTAGCTTTTTTAAAAAAAATATTGAGGCATTCAGTTAACTTACATATCTCTGCTTTAAAATTCTTCTGTTTGTTATTTTTGATAAATGATTATAATGGTAACCCTCCCTATGGGTAATTGGCTAGTATCTTCCATGTGATGAGGAGATTTCTCTGGAAACTGGGGAATGTCCTAAAAATCTAATAGCTTGATTTAAGCTGACACATTTTTGCCTTTATTCCCCCTGTTCCTTAGGTTTCTTTCCTGTTCAGTGATCGAGGGATTCCAGATGGACACAGGCACATGAATGGATATGGATCTCATACTTTCAAGCTGGTTAATGCAAAGGGAGAGCCAGTTTACTGCAAGTTCCATTATAAGGTATGTGTTGCCTCTGCGCAGAGGCTTTGGGAGAGCAAGGCTTCCATCACCCACATCTCCTTACTTTTCTTGAGGATTGGGCAAAGACTGCGGCTTTCTTCACCTTTCCCTGAGCGCCAGCTCCTTTCCCCCTCCAAGAATGGGAACTATTGATCTGGTCGATCAGTGTCTTGAATCTTTTGTCAGCCATCTCCTAGGTGAATATATTCACACCTGTCAGGTGGAACTATCTCTTTGGTTTCTTTTTTTTCATGTGGCCAGATGGTAAGAGCACACAGTTGCTCTTAAGAGCCAAACTTTCTTTTCCTGGATTGATTTTTAATTACCAAATAGAGCAGTGTAGTGTCACTCAATGACTGGAACAACTAGGGTGGTTGGTGGCTCTGTAGCTACATCAGTTTGAACTCAGATCTTCCCTCTTGCAGATAATGCTGTATGACCTTTGGCATACTACTAAGAGTTCTCCGATGCAAATTTTGTTGCTGTAAAATTGGAATAAGAATATCACCTGTCCATGGTCCTGGAAAGATTGGATTTCATGTAGATCACTTTACCCAGGGCACTGGGATAGTTTGAGATATACATGGATTCATCTGTCTGGATTATTCTGACTTAATGTTGTGTTTTTCCCTAAACCCGAGGGATCCAGTGAAAACTAGAGAGTCATTGTAATATTACTGTACAATTTAGCTCTTTCAGTGACTTGTAGATGATTAGCTTCTTTTTGTAATCCCAGATATGGCTTCATTTCTGGTATATTAGTAAGTTCAAATGTTGCCACTATTCAGAAATATTTGGGATTTCTGTTTGCACCAGCCTTGAGTGTTTCACTTACTGGAGACCTTTCAGAAGGAGAAATGTGGGAACTCCATTAAGAAGCAATATTGTGTGATATCAGAATACTTGTGAAAGTGACTGAAGTTACTTGGATCTTTTTGACATTTTTTGAAAGTCATAATACTGATTTCATAAAAAAAATGTAACAAATACAACAATAAGAAAAATTTCAAAAAAAAATACTGATTTCATGTGGTCATAAAACTGGCTCAGAGCAACTGTGCAGAAATGCTTTTCAGCTTGGTAAGCTATAATTGTATGATAGCTTTAAAAAAATTAAAAAAAAAGAAGGCATGAAGGTGGAGGTATAATAGCTGAGCATAATATAAATAATTGATTTGAACTATTATTATATAAAATGGGTAATTAAAAAGGGAAGTGCTTTCATTAATCATTTGATTACTTTAAAAATATTGAATCTATTTTTATTTTTTATGATTTGAAAAGTAACATGGTTTAAAAAATTCAAATAATACCCAACTTGGAAAGCAGTTTTGAAGTTGCTCAAGAAGTTAAACATAGATTTAGCATCTGACCCAGTAACTATTCCAAGATATTTACTCAAATAGTCCACTGAACTCAATACTTAAGGTGCTTAAAATAGTAAATTTTATGTTATGGATATATTTACACCAACAGTGGTTTCATACTGTCTAAAGACAGTCATGCAACATTTCTTCTCTATAAGGATAAAAAGTGGAAAATATAGTTATTTGAAAAATATATAAAGGGGAAGTTAGGGCTGAATTTAAATATAAAATGTGTAGATTCCTGGACATTTAAAGGAATTAGGGTAATCAGGTAGTGTTTCTTGCTGATAAATTCCTATTTGTATCATATTTGAATAGCAGAATTATTACTGCATGGAAAATCCAAGGAAATTTGAGTTGAGCATCTAACTAAAATCCTTCAGTGAACTACTGACTGAAGTTGTATAACTTTGCCCATTGGTTTCAGTTTGAACTTTTTTTTCTTTCATTCTGTAGACTGACCAGGGCATCAAAAACCTTCCGGTTGAAGAAGCAGCAAGACTCGCGCAGGAAGATCCTGACTACAGTCTCCGGGACCTTTTTAATGCCATTGCCACGGGCAACTACCCCTCCTGGACTTTTTACATCCAGGTCATGACGTTTAGTCAGGCAGAGACATTTCAGTTTAATCCATTTGATCTTACCAAGGTGAGTCAGTGAACAACTGGATTATTCTTTTTTTAGACTTTCTTCATACCTATTTTTTTTTTTAAAGATTTATTTATTTGTGCATATAGAACTAGGGTACAGGCCAGGGGTGGCGAGAGGCTTCACCATAGACAGAGTGGGGAGCAGAACAGGCAGATCAATGAAGTACACTACTGAGGGGAACAGCGGGCGGGCCAGGAGAGGTCTGCCACGCCATGTGGTCACCTCCAGGGCAGGCGGGAATCGAACTCATGCTGAAGTGGCTTTAGCTTTTCAGTGCTGTGCTTTAACCTGCTGTGTCACCAGAGAGGGCCTCTTCATACCTATTTTTAAAAAAATTTCCAGTCCAGCTTTCATCGGGCTGGGAAAATCATGTACAAGATCCCCTTTAGAGTTGCCAAGATGGTGAGAAAGTGGGTAGCTGCATCTTACTTCCATGCTTCTGTTTGATACTTCATGGAGCTCATCTGGGTGGCACTGTTTATTGAAAAGATGATGGACTTTTGCCCAAAGAAGATGTCAATATTTTCTACATTGTTGTGAAAGGCCGAGCCCAATCAGTGCATTGACCATCCTTTTTTACCTTTTTATGGTGTATTAAATAATTATTTTCACTGACTTAATTATTATATTTGAGAATTTTTTTAAAGATTTATTTACTTATGCATACAGAACTGGGGTACAGGCCAGAGGTGCAGGGGCGGCGAGAGGCTTCACCAGAGACAGAGTGGGGAGCAGAACAGGCAGATCGACGAAGTACACTGCTGAGGGGAGCAGCGGGCGGGCCAGGAGAGGTCTGCCGCGCCATGTGGTCACCTCTGGGGCAGGCCGGAATCGAACTCATGCGAAGTGGCTTTAGCTTCTCAGTGCAGTGCTTTAACCCGCTGCGCCACCAGGGATGGCCGGGCCTGAGAATTTTTTTATGGGTACTTTAGTTTTGCTTTAGTTGATTGGTCTTTGTGAATATGGTTGTTACTTTTAGGTTTGGCCTCACAAGGACTTCCCTCTTATCCCAGTTGGTAAACTGGTTTTAAACCGGAATCCAGTGAATTACTTTGCTGAGGTTGAACAGATAGCCTTTGATCCAAGCAACATGCCGCCCGGCATTGAGCCCAGTCCTGACAAAGTGCTTCAGGTAAGCCTGGTGGATTGAGATATTCTGATGCAGGAGTGTGCCCTTGTATATGTACACAAACACACACAGTATAAGTTGGCATGGCCTTATGTGAAGAATCAGCCACAATATCACATAAACTTTAGTTAATCTGGACCCTTAGTTCCTGTCCAATTAATTGAAAAATCCTTTGTGGGCATTATAGGGTAAACTAAATTTCATTGTCAGTGTCCCTCAAAATGTTAAGACTTTGATATTTAGTCTCTTAATTTAAAAAAGTTATTAGAAAGGCCTCAGGTATTTGTAGAAGAAAGCAGTCTTAATTTAGTCTGTAGCTGATGGTAGGGAATATAGTTATTGATTACAAGACCTTGGTCAGCCTGACTTTATTTCCTTTTCCAAACTGATGCTTAAAGTTTTTCTATTTATGGAGATATTTTTTGTGAACCAAATTTATGTTGCCAGAGATTAACCATTTATTTAGTAACTCTAAGCATTCCACATTTTTATTTTTTAAAGATTTACTTTTCTTTTTAAATTTATGCATACAAGAGTTAGGTTATAGGACAGAGGTGCAGAGATGAGAGGATTCACCAGAAACAGAGTGGGGAGAGGAGCAGGCAGAATGACTGAAATTCACTGCTGAGGGGAAGGGCGGGCAGGTCAGGAGAGGTCTGCTGCGCCATGTGGGTCACTTCCCTGACTGGGGACTGAACTCATGTTGCAGTAGTTGATGATAGTTTGATAGCACTGAGACTTAATCCCTTTACCACCAGGAAGGCCTGCATTCCACATTTTTAATCTCTTTAACATACTTTTCCAAGAGTATAAAGCATGAAACTTTTTTTTTTTGATACCAGAAATCAGTAGGGTTATAACTGGCTTAATAATTACTAAATACATCAATCTTTTGTGAGTTTGGACTAGGGCATGAAACAATAGTTAAAGATTATACACTGATCAGACCACAGTGAGCTTAGGTTACTTACCTAAGCTCGTGATCCCAGGTCAGGCTCTGTGCTCTATGGAAGCCAGCTAGCAACCACTGGTTTTTTAAATAATAACTTTTCTGCTTTAACGTTGGAAACACCTAAGACTTTTATAGAAAGTGAGTGTTTTATTAGTTTTTAGTTCAACATCTCTAACATAGGAGTACCCACCTACTCTGTGCAAAAGACTCACGGGGGCTACAACTCATAGAAAATATAAGGAAACTAGAGTGGCAGGTGGAATGACATGGCGCATTAGAAAGAGAAATCTTGTCTGACAGGAGGATGAGGCCTAAGTTGTGAGAATGAGGTGGCATTTGAAGGGACTTTTGAAGAATGGATTAGATGTGGATTTTTCACAGAGGTAAAATAGGGTGAGAGAGGCATCTGAGTAAAGGCACAATAGTGGACCATGCTGGGTATATTAAACTGTAAACATTTGCTCTTTCCTGAATTCGAGGAGACAAATTAGACAGCCGAGGGGCCTTAAAACTTGAGAAGTGTTTTCAGTTCTTCCTTCTAGGGCAAGACAAAATTTCTTCAGTTTTGAGACATGTTATCTGGCATGTATTAAGTGGATCACTCCTTTGTGCCAATTAGAAAAAGAGGGAATAGAAAGGGGAAGTGAAGCAGATTTGAGAATAAGCAGAATTACTTGCATTGAAACTGGGGAGTAGATGACCCTCTCCTGCCTGGGGGTTGGCAGGGAGTGAACTGTGTGAAGGACACGCTATTGGCATTTGCCATGAGTCAGAATTATCCTGGGGACAGCTAAGGCTGTGGAAACAAAGTCACGCCTCATCTTTCACAAAAATCCAGGTCACCGTGGTCTCAGGGGCTAGCGTGAGACCTGAAGGTAGTTAGCAACTGAGTCATTCATCAGAAGAGTAAGGAGGCTTTGGATGGAGGCCCCACCCCAGGGAAAAGGGCTGCATGGCCAAGCCACACACTCTGCAACAACAACCAAGGGCAAAGGCATCTCACTGAAACTGGGGAGAGTGTCCGAAGAGGGAAGATAAATGGAAATGAGTCGTTAGTGTCTGCCAATATTCACTGAAGTCATGACAAACATATTTTAAATTCGCATGCTGGCTTAATAGTGTTTTTTAAAAAGTGTGTTTAGAACAGTGTTTGAAAGAGTAGGGTCAGCCAAGACACACTAGTCTAGCTTTTCCTGCGACTCCATAGGTGACTTAGGTGTGTATTCTAGAGCTATGGAGCTGGTTGGGCTCAGAGCAGACAGGGGCTGTTGGACTAATTTAGTCATTTGGAGACCAGTGAGCAACTATTTGAGGTTCTGAGTAGGTAAGTCATAGCATCTGTGTGGAGCCTTAGACTGATTCTGGCAGGGTGGCAAGAATGTGTAGGGTGAGGCATCATAGGAGGAGGGACTGAGTGGAGCGTAAGTTAGGAGGACTAGGAAGCCCCTCTGGGGGGAGATCAGTTACCTCTCAACAAGGTTACACCAGTAAATTTTAAACTCTGTTTCCCAAAGTGGTAAGCCAGACCATGATGAAATGTATAGGCAGAATTTTGCAAGTCCTGAGACAGTCCCTGAACACCTGAAGGTGCAGGTGCGACTGTACCCTGCATTTCGCCGGGAGTGGAGGAGCCGGTTGGCGGCTCAGGGGAGCTTGGTTCTGCTTTCTCCCCCAGGCCCCCAGCAGAGCTCAGGCACACGGACTGAGAGGGTACCCTGGTGTCAGTGTACGGCCTCACTGCTCATTTCCCAACCTTTACTTTGTGGGTGTCTCATGGCCAGCTGGGTGGGGTTTTTTTTGGTAAATATAAGGTGACATAAAGCCAAATTTATGTGATCACGGTTGTATCCAGCTCAAGTGTGTCTTCTAGCCAGTTGCTACAGTTAAAGCATGACTTAGTCTATTTTGAGCTGAAGGAGGCAACCAACTTGAGATTCACAGGGTCTTAGTCTGACTGCATGACCAGTCAGCTAACTATCACCTTGGATCATTTGGGGTGATTATGGGAGGTAGAGTCCCTCAACCCAGAGATGTCATTGACGTCACAATGAGACACTGGATTAAGAATGTTCTTATGAATGATTTGGTACAAAATAATTGTTTAAGTTGTCCAACCGGATTTTTATTTTGGATTTTTGAGTTTCAGATATTAGGATACTCTTTCAGATTCAAGGCCAATGATTAAGTCAACAAAAGAACCTGTTGATAGAATTGAGCTTTGAATAATGAGAGTCTTTAAAATAATTGGATGCTAAGATTTATGTACAATTAATCACACTGCATTTTGTTTAGCACTAACTGAAAAAATACCAAAGTTCTTACCTTCCTACATTGGTGAACAGGTGACTTAATTTGATCTTCTTTGACTCAGGACCTTTGCCCTCATTTTGAACCAATTTTTGTACAATCTCACTGTATACTTGATTTATATTTAGAAAGGCTCAGAGTTTAATCCAGAACACAACATGGGATTTATATATATATATATATATATATATGTACATATATATATACAATTAAAATTATATGTGTGTGTGTGTGTGTGTATATATATATATATATACATACATTTTTAAAAAAAGATTTATTTACTTATACATACAGAACTGGGGTACAGGCCAGCGATGCGGAGGTTGAGAGTGGGGAGCAGACCAGGCAGATTGATGAAGTTCACTGCTGAGGGGAGCAGCGGGCGGGCCAGGAGAGGTCTGCCCGCCCTGTGGTCAGCTCTGACGCCAGGATCTAACTCGTGCTGAAGTGGCTGCGGCTCGCTTGCAGTGCTGCACCCGAATTTAGTGCTGCGCCACCAGGGAGGGCCTGGATTTATATTTTTAAATAATTTCCTACACAGTTGGTTCCATAGAAAGTCTCTTCTCTTTGTTAAGACCAAATGGTTGAACCCCCATCCAGAGTGAGACTTTGCTCTTTCCTGGGGCAGGCAGGGGTTGTGGGGTTCACACACAGAGGGCTTTGTATTTGGAGTCTTACACTGAAGTTTATCTTCATTCCTAGTGTTCCACTCGTTACTCACACAGTCTGCCTGTTTCCTTTATAACTCAGGGCCGTCTTTTTGCTTATCCTGACACTCACCGCCACCGCCTGGGAGCCAACTATCTTCAGATTCCCGTGAACTGTCCTTTCCGTGCTCGACTGGCCAACTACCAGCGCGATGGCCCCATGTGCATGTTCGACAATCAGGGTAAGGCCCGCACCCCCCACCCCCCCACACCTACCCCCCAGCAATGAAGTTTTAACACCTGAGGACTTTTTCTTTTATATATTTCTGTGTTTGGTTGAGAGTTCTCTCTTTGGTGTTTGCTTGCTGTCCATTGATGGTAGAGGGCAGTGGGGGGGGGGGTCTTTTCCACTGGCTGTAGCAGAGGAGCACCCACCTCTGGCTTAGTTTTTTTTTTTTTTAAAGGTTTATTTATTTGTACATACAGAACTGGGGTACAGGCCAGAGGCTCAGGGGCGGCGAGAGGCTTCACCAGAGACAGATTGGGGAGCAGAACAGGCAGATCGACGAAGTACACTGCTGAGGGGAGCAGCGGGCGGGTCAGGAGAGATCTGCCGCGCCATGTGGTCACCTCCGGGGCAGGCGGGAATCGAACTCATGCGGAGGCGGCTTTTAGATTCTCAGTGCTGTGCTTTAACCCGCTGCGCCACCAGGGAGGGCCCCTCTGGCTTAGTTTTTAAAGGTCTTTCACAAAACAGACAATTCCTTCAATTACTTTCAACCACCAGAAAGAACTCCAGAACCGACATTTGGAAGTTGAGAGTTCATAGCTTTTGTTTTTCTTTGCACTTCTGCTGGGCCTGTGGCGGGCAAGGGCAGCCAGATTCCAGCAGGGATGGGTAGGCTGGAGTAGGGGGTAGCGGCAGTCAAGGAAATGCCCCTGATGTTTGCTAAGGGAACGTAGTTGAATTTGCATAAATCAGTTGGCGAGGTGAGACTCCACTGTGTCTGATTTTTGGAGCTCATTTATCAACCAGTGATTCTTTTAGCTACTTTTTAGGATACCATGTCCAGATAGCCTCTACTTCTAATTATTGGTCCCAATCAAAGAATACTTGGTTAATGTTTTTTCCTTTTAATGTTCCACAGCTTAATAAAGATCTCAGTTTTCTTTTTTTATTTTTCTTAGGACACAAGTGTTTTAGTAATAGACTGTTTGCATGGACCCTTTTGGAAATTTCATATGATTTGTACTTATAGCCATAGATGTCTATATTCAAACAAAATTGACTTTTCTATGATAAAAATAATATATGGATCTAAAAGAAATTTGGAAAACATAAGGGAAAAAAAACAGAAGAAGAAAACCCCACTTAGGGTCACAATACAAGAACTCCATAACTGTGAACATATTGCTGTCTTTCTTGCCAGTCAATACTTAACATTTTTTGTATATATAATATTGTGCCATGCTTTTGTTACCAGTATTATCACTAAGTTTTTTTTTTAATGTATCTAACAAGTTTACATACTAACCAACCACATGAGGTGGTTGCAGTATTTCTGCTCTCTGTGTTGTTGCACAGGGCAGTGGGTCTTTCTTGTGTCCGTCTCCTGTACTTTTATTCTAATTTTTCTTTTTCATCCCCCATTTGTATTTTTTGGCCCTTTTGTTATTGAGACTGCCATATTGGGGGTTCATATATATTTTGAAACGTTATTAATAAGTAATTCCTTCATGGTTACCACTTGTTTTAACCATGGTAGTGATATACATATGAAACAAAAATTAAGGATGTATTTTGGCACACCTTTTGCTAGTTTTTAAACTGTGCTCTAAAATTTGATGCTGGTGCTGGGAAAAGAGGGGATGGGATGAGAGGCAGATGGGGTACTAGCATGATGGTTAGGTAGAGGGTGAGTGGAACACATGCACATGGGGATGAACAAAAATGTAACTCCCAGAATTAAAAAAAAATTCGACCCCACCCCCCCCCCAAAAAAAAGTGTTCCAGGAGTTGAAGACAACCTGAATAAAGGTCAAAGTTGATTTGGAAGTAGACTTTTTTATTTACTCAAATAGGCCCATTTCAAAGAGCTAATTCTTTTTTAAGATTGATTTATTTATGCATACAGAACTGGGGTACAGGCCAGAGGTGTAGGGGGTGAGAGGATTCACCAGAGACAGAGTGGGGAGCAGAACAGGCAAATTGTCCGAAATACACTGCTGAGAGGAGCAGTGGTGGGACAGGAAAGGTCTGCTGAGTGGGTCACCTCCCTGGCCGGGGATTGAGCTCATGCTGCAGTGGCTTCATAGTTCTGTGCTTTAACCTGTTGCGCCACCACAGAGGGCCCCAAAGAACCATTTCTTAATGCAGAAGTCCACCATGGATGGCTGGTTATTGGGGCACTTTGCTTTTCATGTAGATGTAGCTGACCTAGAATGAACCTCTTGGGGTAGGAATTGGGCCCCATAATAATATGGTATCCTCCCTCTGCCTACCAGCACTTGGTCAATATGCTGCATAGGTGCCTCTTGATTATCTCTTCTGATAATCAGTTCTCACAATGACCTGGGTAGAAGTCCAACCCCAGACCGGCTTGTTCAAAGCACTTAACATGTTTCTAGGCCACTCCTTCTGTTTAGTCTGCGTATGCTCAGGTAATTCAAACTTCTGCTAATATAAACTGAAGCTGGGTATAGTTAGGAAAATAAACATGCCAGTGAAGGTAGAAGTCTATAAACTATTCCAGAACTGCAGTTCTGTATGAATAAATAAAGAAATCTTTAATGTGTGCATGAGAGTGGTTGCCACTTGAATCCATCTATCTTGTGACTATTTGTTTCATTGCTCATCTCCCCAAGTGGCTCTGTCTGGCTCTCTTTTGAAGGCGGTGCACCCAACTACTACCCCAACAGCTTCAGTGCCCCGGAGGTGCAGCCGTCTGCACTGGAGTACGGCTGCCAGAGCATTGCAGATGTGAAGCGCTACAATAGCTCTGATGAGGACAACGTCACCCAGGTGAGGGCGGCCGCCGCTGCTGGCTAACTGCCAGTGTTCCCTCCTCTTCAAGTGCCTGACATGTCTTAAACCGAACACAGGGAAGACATCTCTACTCATAAATTAATCTCTTTGTTAGATGGAGTTGAAGAGGTGTGTTTCTATGCGCTTTGGCTTCATTTCAGTTTCCTCAGGTTTCACTGAAGGGATATATGAGGGCTGTTGGGGGAGTTAAGAAATAGATCAGTGTCGGGATTATGGTGAGGGCACACGGGTGACTTGGTGATGGGAAACCCGTGGGGATTACAATTGAGATGGAAAAAAAAATGTACAAAATGATGTAAAAGTAAACTGTTATAAAAAACAAACTTAAAAATAAAAATAAAAAAAGAACGAAAAAGATCAGTGCATTTAAGTAGAGGGAGTCTTAAGGATTGGGCAGGACGCTCACATTCAAGGGTGACAGCGCCTCCCCAGGGGCGTGGAGCCCGGCTGCAGGACTGTGGGTATTTCCTCTTCGAGGCTGGCGGGTCACGCTGTGCTCCCCACCTGCTGGCTCCTTCTGTCTGGTTCCTATCGCTTATTCCCCCATGGCTGCCTGTTTTCTCCACTTGACCACATAGCTCCTGTTTTATCACTGGTGTGACTTTGCCATTACAACGAATTCTGCTTTATCACTTATTTATGTGTTACTTTTTTCCTCTTTAGCTGTCTTTTCAGCCCTCAGTATTTCTGTCTCCTTTTCTAAAGAGAAGAAAGTGGATTGATTTGGCTAATCCTTTCACCCTAGCTTGCATGGCGTGGCCTTTGGCCAGCCAGTTACCTGCCCTGGGTCAGGTGCTCACCTGTTTCCCATCCCTGACTGCCTACAGACTGTTCTTTCTGTGGATGCTATGAAAGAGGCCCTTTTATGGCCTGGTGTCTGGGGGCCACCTCATGAATGTATCCAGAGCACCTTACACCACATGCAAGAAAAGAATAAAGTTAAAATGAAACAAAAACTAGGATCTGAAGTACTACGAATGGCAGTTTCAACTATAATTTTAAATTATTACTAGATTTCAGGATCTTTTTTTCATCTTTATGCCTGTGATATTTCATTCTTTTTAAAAATTTCATTTATGCATACAAGAACTGGGGTACAGGCCAGAGGTGTGGGGGTGAGAGAATTCACCATAGTCAGAGTAGAGAGCAGAAAAGGCAGAAAGGCATGTCCCACCTCCTGCTCCACTGAAATACACTGCCAACGGGAGCAGCAGGCGGGTCAGCAGGGGTCTGCTGCACCAAGTGGGTCAGCTCCCTGGCTGGGGATCGAACTCGTGCTGCAGTGGCTGCGGAGAGCTTCATAGGGCTGTGCTTTAACCCATTGTACCATCAGGGAGGCCTGACATAACTATGTCAGCGAAAAGTGTTACTTTTTCACTTCAAATGTGATATTTTGGGTGAATTATGTCCACAATATGCTTCACCCTCTCTTTCACTGTGCAGGTGAAGGCATTCTATTCTTCAGTACTGAATGAAGAGGAGAGGAAACGCCTGTGCGAGAACATCGCCAACCACCTGAAAAACGCACAGCTTTTCATCCAGAAGAAAGCGGTGGGTGACAGTTTGTGACCAAAGGGCGACATCTGCTGGCACAAGAAGGGAGTGCAGCTGTATGAGGTCCCATGCAGGAAAACAAAGTGTCCTTTCTATGGTGGACACTTGTTTTAGGGGAACTTAAAACAAAGTTAGTGTTCCTCCCCATCCCGCCTCTGGTATTTCTCTTACTATTTTCTCTGGTAGTTTATGGCATCTCCATTGATCTTTAAGTTCTTTGTCCAGTGTGTCATAATTTAGTTAAATTCAGGGTAGTTTCTTTTCTATGCTGTTTTAATTTGAATACAGCCAATTCTGTGGAAGATGGTAAAGGCCCAATAAAGTGGGCCTGACCCCACTTTATTCATTCTTCTCTCACATGGGTTCATGTGGGTTCCTCATGTCCCACCTCCTGCTCTCTGCTCAGGCTCAGCCTATTCTGTTCTTTTAAAACAATGAGATTCCCACCCAGAACACCTTGACCTTGACCTGCTCAGGAGAAAAAGCTCATTGGTGAGGGGCTGGACCCACCCCCTGCATCCCGAGTTGCTCTCTGCCGTGAATTCCTGCTTGAAGTGTGTGGAGTTGCCCAGCAGATGATAATGTCTTTTTGTACCTCACTTTCTATTCAGGCAGTGTCTGGGCCCATTTCTTCTTCTTCTTTTTTTTTTTAAGATTTATTTATTTATGCATACAGAACTGGGGTGCAAGCCAGAGGTGCATGGGGTGGTGAGAGGATTCATCAGAGACAGAGTGGGGAGTGGAACAGGCAGATTGACGAAGTACACTGCTGAGGGGAGCAGCAGGCAAGATGAGAGGTCTGCTGCGTCATGTGGGTCAGCTCCAGGGCGGGGATTGAACTCAGCTAGTGGCTGCCACTAGCTTGCAGTGCTGCGTCCTAACCCATTGCACCACCCAGAAGGCCTGGGCCCATTTCTTAATGCCAGTGACCATCACTTGTTGGAGTTATTCTGCAATTGGCTGTTTACATGCAGTAAACAGCCACCACCTCCTGTGTCTTCCTCACAGACTCCTGGGAGATCAGTGTCACTACCGTCCCCATTTTGGAGTGCAGATGAGTGACTTGTCCATGGTTGCTCAGCCAGGACATGTCTGGGTTTTCCTGGACACTAGATATTCTCCCTGTTGACACTGTGCTTCTGACCCCTGCTGAAGGGTCCTTCCTCCGCATAGTAAACATGCGGACACTGGGGATGAGCCTTACAGAGGCCGGGACGTTGTTGACCTTTATTTTCACTTGGTTTCAGGTCAAGAATTTCACTGATGTCCATCCTGACATGGGGGCCCGCATTCAGGCTCATTTGGACAAACACAACTCTGTGAAATCTAAGGTGAGCCCAGAGCTGCCTGCCTGGCTATGACAGGTATACGAGTCCTGGAGGAGACTAGACACAGCTCAGTTTCCCTTTTATGACGATTTTCTCAGGGACAGCTACTAGATTTCTTAAGCAGCTGTTTAGAATCTCACCTGAGACTTAAAGAGCTCATCTGCAAAACTCTTCGTTTCATTTTATAATCTGTAGGATAGTTTAAGTTGGGTGGCTTCAGAGTTGTTTTTGTTTTGAGTACAAGTGAAACGAAAGTAAATACCAAGTTGCAGCTGCCAAGTGAGTTAATTAACTTGCTCGTTTTCTTCTTTTAAAACAGAATGCAATTCACACCTTCATGCAGCCCAGGAGTCACTTGGCTGCAAAGGAGAAAGCTAATCTGTGAGAAGTGGGTGCTTGTTCCTGCACCTGGAGGCGCAGCCTGTGACGTGAAGTATGGCATTCACACATAACCTACTCACCGCTGGATGAAAGATGCTGTGCTAGATGGCCAAGTGCAAGCTAACGTCTTTAAAATGATAGCCCAGGTTTTGATAGCCAATCAGGTAGTGACGGCTTTTAATGCTCTTTTCCTTGGGGAAAAATGAAGGTTAGGGTTTAACAGTCACTTAATAGAAACATGTACTGGTGTTGGATAGTTGGGTGGATTATTCATTTAAAATGGCTATAATAAACATTTCTAGAGAAATGTGATTGTATTGGATGAGGAAATCTTGGTTTAATTAGTATGTATCATCTCATGGCCGACTATATACAAGTACAGTTGCAGTTGTGCAAGAAAAAATTAATCTGCTGAGAAATTGTAATTAAAAATATTTTATATGAAAGACATTTAATACATTGGTGTCTTTTGAAAATAACTTCAGTACTTGGTACCATGGCTCAATGATTATACCTGTTTGGAATTGCTCAGATGTTTTCTTTTTTTTCAATTTGGGATCACATTAATGCAAATATAGTACTGATTTTTGCGACAAACTGATTTGTAATTGCTTACAGTTTTACAGTAAATTGCAATAAATTAATCTATGTAACAATAGAAGAATGGTATTTGACTTTTTTGGGGGGGGGTTTCATATATATAAATTGGAATATCCCACCAGCCTTTTAATAGAATATCACTTGTTATCAGTTATCACTCTTAAAATTGAAAATGTCACAAGGAGGTTGTGCCATTTGTTTAACACATAGCCATTAGAGACAGCATTCTGACACACTGGGTACCTATATTGGAAAAATAGCAAACTTTGAAATACTTAAATCTCTTGTCCATTGACTCACTTCCTTACCTAATTATGAGTTTTTAAAATAAGGGTTCAGACTCCTAGGTTATTTTTTAAACCCTTATTTGACCAAGCTTGAAAATCACATGGAACATGTTAAGGTGAATTCTGAATACTAAGTGAAATGCTGTTTCCTTTGGAAATCTTTATTTCCTCTGTCTCAGATCTCTTAACACCATTTTGTACTTACTTTCAGGAATTCCCTGAGTTCTTGGGCTTCAGAAAACCATTAGACCTCTAATAGAATCAAAAGCTCAATCTTTAGCTCAAACTTAAATCTCCTGTCAGACTCTCCTGCCTAAATTCCTTGAGTCTTTGTGCTTGAAAATTATCACATGTGTAGACACAGAAAGTAAACTTATTCAGTGGTAAATACTGTCAGTATAGTAGCTTTACTATTGTAAGAACTCCACAGTAGTAAATATACAAGGTAAATGTATAAAAATTAATATAATTTAATAGTGGGAAAGAGGCTGTTAATTTGAATATTGAATAACTCAAAGATAGTTTTTGAGATTTTCTACTTTGTTCTATTCCATTGTATAAAACGAGTTATATACACATTATATATAAACAATAGTTAAAATCACTTTTATCTAATAGGTTGACTGTGACACTCTAACACACTTTTGCTCTGGAGACCTCTCGGTATAATTTTCAGAGATAAATTGGTGAGATTAGCTTTTACTTCCTGGAAGGTACTATTTAGTTATATTCCTTTTAAGTGACATTATGATGACATTAAGAGTTTTTGAACCAAATTTTAAGTAGGATAAAATTAGCAAACAGGATATGTTATGATGGCTCTAGAACCTAGACAGACCTAAGCTCCTCCATTTTGTACCAGTGGCTACATGATCCAGTTCCTTTACCCCTGAGTATTACTTATTTTCCTTATCTCCAAATGGGAGCAAAGTTGTGGGTTGTGTGATGGTTATTTGTATATTTGACCAGCACATCTTTCCAGCCCGACCCCTCATGAACCCTATATTGGTCTTGCTTTGTAGCAAACTACCTCAAAACTCCATGGACTAAAACTAGAATCATATTATTACTCATGTGTCCAAGTTGTAACCTAGAGATAGGCAGGCTCGGCTGGGGCAGTTTGACTGGCATGGCTCTGTGCCACCGAGGCCCCTGATGATAATAGCGTGTAATGATGGCAGCAGTGCGAAGATGGGAAAAAGGAAATCCACTCTTTTTCCTTTTTCAGGAAATTGGCATTTCCAGAACTCAATCCCAATTGCATAAGTAATTTTCAATCTGTTGTTCTGTCCTACCTGCTAATACTACATTGGTCAAAGCAAATCACCAGGTTAAGTCAAAAGTCAAAGGTGACAAAGTGTGTGTGTGACAGAGGGAGAAAGAGCCTAAAGCAAACCAGTTATCTATCATAGAGTTTTCCTCTGGTCTGTTCTTCAGCTCTTTTAGACTTAGCCCATTGACCCAATCACCTTTTCACTGGCCATCACTCTCTGTCTTTACCTGCTATCTCACTCTACATGTTCACATAGTTCAAAATGATGGTTATTCTGAAACCCAGCCTTGGTAAAACTTGCCTCTCACCTACGCACTTCCTGCCCCAGAGCAAAGCACAGCCCTGCTGACTGGGCTTTTCAGTTTTGAGCCCAGGCCTCTAGTGGTCTGGAAACTGTCTTTCCTCCCTCAGCCCCTCTCCAACTTGTCGCTGCCCCTCCCTCTCAATAATTTATTTCACCAAAGATAGGAGAACTGCCTTAGCTTTTCTTCCATCAAAATCCTCCGGTTTGCTACCTTCCACATTCTCGTCTTTGCTCAGCTGACAGAGATGTGTTCACGCTGGGCTCGCGGCACACGCGCGCACTGAGCCCAGGCCCTCCTGCACGCCTGGGTGGCCCCTGCCCTCATCTGCCTCATCAGTCCTTCACTTTCATCTGCCTCATTCCTCTTACATGCAAATCTGCTGTAAAGCCTCATGGAATTCTATCAGCTTCATAGGCCTCTCCCATTGTTGTTCTCTATTTCACCTACTTAAAAAGTATCTGAAAAGAGTTGTCTCTCCTTGCTACCCCTACCAGACCCTGTCATCTTGTCCTCTAATCAAGTTGCCCTTGGCAATGTGACTAGTGATTTCCATGCCACAAAATTCCAGTGGTCCTTTTTGGCAATCCTCCTTCCCAAAAGAAGCAGAAGCAGACTTGAAGAGATGGGGACATCCTATGTTTGCAGCAGCTTTATTCACGATATGCAAAGGTAGAAACAACTCATGTGTCCATTGACGAATGGATGAGCAAAACAGTATATCTAGACAATAGGATATTATTCTGCCCTAAAAGGGAATGGATTATGGCCCTCCTTGGGTGGCGTAATGGGTAAGATGCAGCACTGCAAGCTAACCACTGCTGCTTCAGTTTGATCCCTGGCCCGGGAGGGGATCCACATGGCACAGCAGATCTCTCCTGACCCACCCACTGCTGCCCTCAGCAGTGTTCTTCATCAGTTGGGCTGTTCTGCTCCCCACTCTGTCTCTGGTGAATCCTCTCACCGCCCCTGCATCTCTGGCTTGTACCCCATTTCTGCATGCATGAATAAATATATCTTAAAAGAAAAAAAAAAAAAAGAAAGGAATGGATTCTGATACAGGCTATAACATAGATGACCTACAAGACATTGTGAACAAACCCAGACTCAAAAGGACAGAATAATTGCTCCAAGGCCTTGTTGTCAGCTCTGATTTTTTGAAAAAGGCTGGACATCTGGATTTTTTAGTAAAGCTGACTTTTAAGTAAAGTGAGATAAGATATGAAACAGTGAGATAGGAAACATACTCAAAATAGTGAAAAAAAATTGTGTGTGTGTGTGTGACACAACCAAAACTATATCTGTAGCCTTGCTGGCCCATTTTACCTTTATTTTAAGGTGCTTAAGGGATGGATAAGATCCCTCCATATATTTCTTGCATCTCTTAGGCTCTTAAAAAATTGCCTACCCCCCAAGGTACCAGGAAAGGGAAAGGCCGCCAAAAGCATTAGAGATTGTCCCTGGCTGCTGAGTCTCCTGGCTGAATTTCATGATAGAGAGACAGCTGAACATGTTAAATATTTTATTCACATTGTTTACAAACTATATCCACCTGGAAAACACATGAGTCCAAAAATAGATTATCTTACAGTAATTCACATTTTTTGAAACAAGTTACGTTTGCAGTTAAGTTCTAAGCACAGTGGTCCTCAGCCTGTGTGGTGGGTCAGTGCCCCTCACGTGAAGCTTCCCGGCCTGGGGAAGCCGAAATCCCAGGGACTGCTCACCAACCGCTTGCAGCCACTACCAGTGACTGATGAGAAATGTCAGTGCAGACTTTAACCTGTGAACATTTACTGGTATAAATTCGCTATTTTTGTCAAGGTCATATGTGTTTAGCTTGAGTACAAATCAGGTAGAAAGACAAAATAAAAGAGAGCCATAATTTAATTGGCTATGATAGAGTGCTAGGCCATTTCCAGTTCATAGGTGTTTAATGTCTTGGTCACAAGATGGAAACAACAAATGACGGTTTTATCGAGCTGACCGCTTGAATCCCAGAAACAGCTGCTGTGCTCCAGAAACCCACGCAGGCATCTTTTGACTCTGTCCCTACTACCCTTACCTCTCCCACCATTAGAAGAGGGGGAATAAACTCAAAGAATTAATGTGCCCAGATTTCAGTGTGCTACTCTGGGAGGATGGTCCTGGGAGTTTTAGTGATTGAACACAGAAGATACTCTGGTTAATGAACTTTGTACTAGCCTGTCATAAATCCAGTATGTCCCAGATTGATGGCTTAGCTCTCGCATTAAGAAACTGTTCTATGGAATTTGTCTTTCATGATTTAAAATCTACAGTATGTTTGTCTTACCCACGTCTCACCCTCCTACTATATCAGCTACAAACTAATCACCCCTTTGCGAACTGCCACAGTTAAATTTGGGGAAACCTTTGAGCTTTAGTCATGGAAGCACTGGATGAGTTTCTAACAGCCCAGTTGAATCCTTTTTCTCTGAGCAGCACCAATAGCATTGAGATTCTGCAACTCTTGATTAGGGAAATCATGTTTGATCAAGGTATCACAAAAGATCATCTCCTCCCACCCCTGGTTGAAAAAGAAATTCTTAGGGGTCGCTGCCATCACCCCCAAGTGGAGGACAACGACTCAGAATCCAAATATAAGCTGGATGTGGAGAAATTTTATCAGCACGTTTGTAGGTTTCAAAACAAAACAAAACAAAGACTTTCAAGTGTCTATTGCAATCAGATTGTTTTCAAAGACAGAAATCCATAAAGAGAGCGGACGATGGAGTGGGTCATAGCTGCTCCTCCTGCCACCCGTGTGCGTTTTTTCCGAATTTATACACTAACCTTCGGTCGACTCGTTCCAGAATCCCCGTTTTGTAGTAGTATCTGTGGAAGACAGCAGAAGAGAAGTGTGGGGAGGGTTCGCACCCCAGGGAAACAGCAGGACACAAACACTCCTCACTGCTCTCAGGTGACGAGGTCCTGGCTTAGTCTGGCATGTCCACACCCTCTTATCAACTTACACTTAAACCTTTCCCAGACATCGTGAGGACTGAGCCTCACCATGTTCAGTTCAAGATGTGTTTTGTGTGCGTGCGAGATGGGCTGGCTTCACAGTGATCCCCGGGGACTCCTGCCAAGCTTGAAAGTGATGGCGTGTCGATTTACAACCCATAATCCTGCCTGTAACTAAGAACCGAAGTTTTGTCTCATAACCTTGTGCTCACTAAATAACTGCAAAAACAGTTTACTTTTCTGTGGCTGTCCATTTTACATAACTCTGCTTTGAAAGCTCATGACACTCTGTGCTATTAACTTACCTCAGGGCTCTGCTCAACTTCTCGTACGTCATTCTGTCATTTTTCTTCCTTTGTCCCCACATCTTTGCCAGGGCTTCTGATTTAACCACCCGAAAAATACCCTGTTCCCTATCTTCCCATTCCAGAATGCCACAGTTTTCTTCGGGAGATAGGAGCAGATCTCGCACAAACTCCCATAGATGTGAACTTTGGAGACCTTTTGAGAAGGAAAAAGAAGTTACTTTCAAGTTTTTTTTCTTTTTTAAATCTTAAGAATGATATAACTTAGTAACCTGATGAGAATTACTTATTTCTCATAGTTAGCACTGGGGGCTCTACTCAGAACCTATGTGAGCTGCCTGAGGTCTGGGTTCTATGGAAGCACTTAACACACACACACACACACACACACACACACACACACACACCACATTGATGGCAGCCCAGCAGCTCACAAACCTTCCTGACTCCCTGGAACTACAGACTAATATGAAGTCATGAAATGACAAATGATTCACTTTTTTCCTGAAAGGTAGTGTGGTTGTACTATAATGTAATAGCCACATCTGTCTGGGTAGAACAATCTCCAATTTTTATTTCTCTACTACCTTCTTTGGGGAATGACTGAGCTCACTTAAACATTCAGTCTCAAAGCTAGGAACAGTAGACAGATTATTCTGGAAAGAAAACAAAAGCAAACAAAAAAGAAAAAAATCCTAAAAGAAATAAATTAGCTACGATAAATGGTATCTCTGACTTACTTGTTCGACTATGACTGTGACAGTCTTGACCTTTGATGCCACTTGTTTTCAAACAACTGGAATCAGCATCTGAAACAGAATAAGTTACAGCTGTAGGAAGGACTCAGTAGGTCACATGAAGATCTCAAATCACATCAAAATGGGCAAGTAATCATTGAACACCTTTGTGATCGAAGATGCTGTTAGATGCTTTGGGGTGATTAGTAGGTGAGAGGTACAAAGATGCTTAAGATGTGATATTTATTTTAAGGGGCATTTGTATTGAGTATTGGAGACCTATACTATACACCTTCTGGCCTCTGTGCTGGTGGGGGGACTGGAGCGAACAGACTGAGTCTCTGCTCACATGAAATGTAAGGACTAACGGGCGACATAACTAAATCACCCGTTGTTTTGAGTGTAATGAAGGGAAGTAAGGGGCAGAGAAAGAATAGGGTGGCGGCAAGTGTTTGCTCAAGAAAGGGTGAGCCGGGAGCCCCATCAAAAGGAGACGTTTATAATAGGAGATAAAGGTGAGAAGGATCCATGTGAGCAGGTGGGACAGTGTTGCAGGTAGAAAGAGGCCAAGCATGGACCTTGCTCCAGTGGGCAGGCCGGGGCTGTGCCAGAGGAGAGGGTAACCCCTGAACCTGGGTGGTCACACAGGACCTTCCCTGCAGTTCACCATCACAACTTGGGCTTTTACTTAACGTACAAAGTGATGGCTTTGGAGTTTTTCAAAATACCACATTTTAAGCAGATCTCTCTGGCTAGTGTGTGGAGAACATACTGGAAAGGACAGAAGTAAAAGCAGAGACCAGTTTATGAATAGTAGAAAGCAGGGCATTAACTCAATACTGATGACTCAGAACTCACCTACTCCGGAAGTAACACCGTAAGTAAACTGAGACACCATATAAGCATCATCCTGAAGTGATAAATGATTAACAAAAAAAGGGTAGATCTGCCCCTTCCTGCCCACCTCGCCCACTCTGCTCCAACCAGTCTGGTCTCCTAGTTCTTTCTGAAACTTGCAGGCACATTCCATCTTGCAGGTTGTTGAGTGCTCTTTTCAGATTTCCCAGGGTTCACACCCTCATCTCAATCTTCAACTCAAATCACCTTCACTGTGAGGCCCACTCTGACTAGCTGAATTGGAATTGTACTCACATTTCTGTCCAGTACTTCACACCCACTTCCCATTACTTTATTTTTTGCCATAATATTTATCTCCAGCAAACATACTACATAATGTATTTGTTTTAGTTCACTGTCCTACTCGGATGCAGGGATCTGTGACTTCAATTTTAATCCACCAGAGCCCAGGACAGTACCTGGCATATACTAGGTGCTCAATAAGGAGCAGCCACCAGAATATACACTACAGTACACTGACCACCTAGCATTGCATGATCATCTGGTAGGTATAGTCCAGTAAGGATACTTTACTGTAACTAATGAAAGAAAAAACATTTTCAAGGGAAGGAGTGGTATCCTGGGTACCACACTATTGTCCAAGGTGACCTGCCTCAGTGCCACTGGGGTCACGTCACTCCGTGGCTTAACACCTTTCGGTGGTTCCTGGCTGTCTCCAGGATGAAGGATGCCATGTTAGACCTGTCACAAACTCATCCCCACCCACCTCACCTATGTCTCCTGTTGCTCTCCAACTGCTTTCCTTCCCTCAGGTCAGACAGTCCCAATGGGATTTAGCTTTCTCCTGCCTCAGGATTCTGCACAGTTTCCTCACCGGGCACTTCTACTAAGCCAACTTTCACAGACCTCTTATCTATCCTGAACCTCTGCATTCGATCTCTTCTCTGTTCCACATGCAGTAAAGATTGACCTTGTCTCTTTTGTTCCTCTATTAACTGCTGATGCTTATGGGGCGCTTAAATACTAACTACCAAGTTCTTGTTAAGTGTTTCCTGTGGAGTATCTCATGTAATCCCTGCTGCAAGCAGCTGGTGGTATTATTGCTCTTTCCATTTTATTGAAGAGGAAACGGAGGCCCAGGGAGTTTGAGAATTTTATCCAGAGTGGAGAAGCCAGGACGTTTGTTGAGTGTCTAATATTGTCAGGCACTCACTAGATTGCACCCACCCTTGTGATGTACATCTGGTGCTATCTCCTCTCTATGTCTACGAAAACAGGGGTGTAGAGAGGGTGGGTGTTCATGTGGGTCATTCACTCATTGGCTCCTGTGCAGTGACCATAGTGTGCCCATTGGATCAGGCAGTAGGGGTCCAGACAAAACAAATCCAAGCCTGTCCTCTCTGGGAGTCTACATCCAAGAGGCTAGGAACAAGGGATGAACAAGTGAGGATGGTTCAGTCAGGGACACCCGCGAGGGAAAAGAACAAAGCAGGTGGGAGGAGGGAAGTGTTGGAGAAGGGGGTGAGCGAAGTGACAGTTTTAATTAAAGCAGACAGGGAGGGCTCTCTTGAGGGGCCACCAGGAGCAGGACAAGAGTGAGCCCTGGGGAGGTGTGGGGAGAACAGGCCGGTCATGTGGCCGCCTGAGGAGGCTGGAGCAGGCTGGAGCTGACGGAACTGCATCCACACACTCTGACGCAGCCGCCCCCAGCGTGGGTGACTACTGGTGTCCTTCACTGGAATGAATGCTAAGAATGCATGCCGTCAACTTCCAAGGTCCCTGAGGCCCCTCTCGGCCCTTGCAGATGGTCTCAAATTTAACCAATGTGGAAAAACTGGCCCTCGCAGGTTTATGCAAACCACACGTGAATGCCCAAGTGAAATCAGCTGAGCATGGAGGCCGTGGCCAGTGGGGAGCGGTGCGAGGGGAGCAGGGTGGACTGCAGACCCAGGCTAGGAGCTCTGGGTGTCCGCCTGCCCAGGGCCTGCTGCACAGAGGCTCGGAGCACGCACACCCACCCACTGCTTCAACCTAATGCCTTTAAGAGGAGAGAAACCAGTGGGGTCGTGAAGATAATCAGAGAGACGCTATGCCCACGTGGCAAGAAGTGAGAGGGGAAAATTGCCTTTCAGGGTATATGATTTCTTCCATGTGCTTCGAAAGAAGGCTATTTGATTGACAGGATTAATAGAGGAGGTCTGTGGGAGGCGAGGCTCTGCTGACGCTGATTGTTGCTCCTGCGGGTGTGTGTGGGGGGATCTCACCAGGGATCCTCCTGTTCTAACTGTTCCTGGTCCCCAGTGTGGCTTTGCAGGTACTTACGGGGCCATTTGGTCGGAGGCCATGGTGGGCTGGGGGTGGCCGTGGGGAGAGAGGGGCTGAAGCCATCACTATGATGTGAATATTGAATATTGTGACATCCCAGCCTCCACTAAGTTCAGCCGGAGCTACACCTTGAATCCGCTCAATTTCCCTGCAGAAGTGGTTGTATTGGGGTAGAGGGGTGTGAGGGAAGCTTTCCCTTCTCACAACTGTCTCCCTCTCTAATGTGTCCCTGCAGGTGGGCTGTGCCCCTGAGGGTGAGTGGGGGCACAGCTGGATGCTACAAGGCAGGTTCAGTTGTCTTGACAGCAGAGACCTGAGGCAACAGATGTGGTCTCAGCTGTTGGTTGAAATCTCACAGGAGCTGGCACAGGAGCTGCAGAGGCAGTTTCCAGACCGAGCTCCTCATGTCCCATGATCCAGCAGGACAGAGCCCGGGCCCCACATCATGAACAGCCCTGGGGTATTTGGGGAGCTGGCAGAGGAGGAATGGAGAACTTGGCTCAGGGGCAGGAGGTGGCCAGCAGGAACCCTGGCTTGTAGCTTTTTCTCACTGGTATTTCTTCTGCGGATGTGGGAGGCGGCAGAGAAGAGATGGGAGGGGCTGGGGAGCATCACTGGGGCCGTTCTGCTGCTTTATAGCCCCTGGAACCCGAGTCCCTTCAGTGAGTACTAAGTTGAAATCATTCTGTTCTGAGTCACTGAGTGCCGTGCCCATAGCTGGAGAGACCCTGGGCCTTGGATCTTAATTGAGTGGGCAGCAGAATGGAGAGAAGGGCCTGGTGGCCTGTGTGCAGCGGGGTAGAGTGTGCGAGTGTGTCTGTGTTTAAGAGCACAATGCATAAACCATAGGCTTTGAGAAAATGAGTCAGGGCCTGGCTCAGCAGTTACTTGCAAATTACTGTACTTCTGATTTCTTCAAATGCGAATAGAGGGATCAGATAGCCCTGTTACCTAATTATAATGACAATGAAATGAAATCACCTCTGTAGAACCCTCAACCTCGGTGCACATTAAGTGCCTTACAGGTGGCAGTGAGAGTTATTCATGTCACAGAGGAACTTGGGGACCTTGCTTAAAGTGCCAGATGACACTTTGTCCTAGCTGGCTAGGCCTCTCATTTCTGGGTTGGGGTTATCTGAGTCCCCAGAATATCATCTGGGTCATAGGCACTATGATGGATGTCCTGGGTTTTCCAGAGCAGGCTCACTGGATCATCCAGTCTCTGTCTTCACATCTATACCCCTGCCAGCACCCTGCAGGTCAGGGTTTGGGCAAGTGTGGTCTCCAGGGCCTGGGAGAGCTTGGTTACTTACAGTCTTTGATGGCGGCCTTGGTCTCTTCAGCATCATTAAAAAAGGAGTAGCCTAGGAGAGAAAAAGAAATCCACAAACCATATCCACACAATTCTCGTTTCCCCTGGCCAGCTGGGAAAGAAGCTATGGGGAGAAGGAGATCCCCTTATTTTATTCTAGAAGGAAGCTGGAGGAACCATCCATTCCTTACAAGACTGAAGCCACTCCTGAGAGGTGACATTCTCTTCATTTTTAAAAGGCACCTGGAGAGGGCCCTCCCTGGTGACACAACAGGTTAGGACACAGCACTGCAAGTCAGCCACAGCCACTTCAGTGCAAGTTTGATCCCGGGCCGTGGAGGTGACCCACATGGCACAGCAGACCTCTCCTGACCTGCCCACTGCTCCCCTCATCAGTTTCACCGATCTGTATTTTCTGCTCCCCACTCTGTCTCTGGTGAATCCCCTCACCTCCCCTGCACCTCTGGCCTGTACCCTAGTTCTGTATGCATAAATCAATAAATCTTAAAAAAAAAAAAGCCACCTGGTACCCAGCAACTTCTGTGTGCACGAGGGGGCATGCCTGAGTGTCAGGACGCCAGGCTTCTGGCAACACCACAGCCCTGTGCGCCTTGCCCAGGGCCACATTCCTTACTAGCAACAGATGACAACTCCGAGTTTCCCTTTGGTTCTCGTCCTGTGACCTCAGATGTGGCTCTTGTCCTTGGGGATTTGGATGCGGGCGGGGCTGGTCAAAGGGGGACATGGACATCGGAGGCCACAAGAATCGCAGAAGCCAAAGTGAGGATTTGGGGGACTGGAATGGTGCCTGGGTGGGCTCCTCTGAAGAATGTGGTGGGTTGGGCGTGAATTAGGACTTTCAGGTCACGCTGTCATGTGACAGTACAGGCCAAAGCACCCCTGTTTTCTAGCTTGATGTCCAACACAAGGAGGGGGAGTTTCTGTTTACCAATATCGGGGCAGGGTGCCTTTGTATTGGCTTAATCCAGCTGCCCTCTACAGTTGGCATAGCACCCAGGCCATGCTGCTCAAAGCCTACCCAAGTGGTAGCCACAAGGGCCAGTAAAGGAAACTGCCCCTGCTCTTCACCCTTCTGGTCCCCCTTGCCTTGCAGTGACTGGACCCCATATTTCCAGGCCCACTGAAATACCAACTGAATCAGATGGCTTTGGGGCCCCAGGACCCCAGGACTTCACTAACTCCTCTCCCCACCAAGACTTACTTGTTCAGTGTCCTACCAGAGTCCTAGTCTGAGGGGTAACCAGGTGATGACCTCTTTCCCATATAATTTATTGGTGAAAACCTGAGCATGAAACTCAGTGCTAATACTAATTTTTTTAGGTAACAGGTAGAAACAGTGTGTCCTGGGTAAAAGGAGACCCAGTACACTTTGGTCATGTGTATAAAAATAGTCACGTTTCCTGCTTGAGGAATGCCAGGAAGTGGACATCTCCCCCTCCCCCCAGTCAGGGGGAAGAGACAGTTTCACTGCCCACCGCAGGGACTACCCTGGCCTACAGAGTGCTTGAGATCTCACCAGTATTTGGGGGAGGGGGTGGCCCCAAGAGCTCTTTGGAGCATGAAAAGGCTTAAACAACAGAGTTTTAGCTTATTTGCTTTGCACAGACTCTGGGGTCCTGGGAGCTGTGACAGGGAGTTTCTGAATACACAGTTACCAGAGCAGGGAGATGCCCATCCTGGCGGATCCAGGGGCTACTGGCATCTGCAGACAAACTTGAGTGACTAGACCTTTGGGCCAGGCCGATGATGCCAACTACATCTTCTTCCAGCTGCCGTACTCTCCTGGGCCCTGGGATCTTGTGCCAGGCTGCTGCCTCTATGATGTGAATGGAACCCTGAGCTCCTCCCTGAGACACCAATTTGTTCGGATTTACCCTCTTTCATAGGGTGAGGGGGCACCCTGCTCCCTGTTCCTGGCATGGCTCTGTCAGTGGTGATAATCAAGCAGATAGGAGACCGGAACAGCAGGTCTGTTTGTGCCTTCATTCTCCCCTGCCCAACCCCCCCAACTCACTTCTCCCCTGCCCAACCCCCCCAACTGTGGCTCCCGGGCAAGATAAACTGTGCTTGAGGGTCCCCCCCCCCCTGCTTTCCTGCTCTCAGGCACTGGAGATGGGGGGAAAGCAATCAGAGGTAAAAAACTCCTGAAGGGCTGAAGGTCTTCTGGGATTTTCCAGGTGGGAAATAACTGTCATAGCCTCCTCTGCAAGCAGGTGCCATTAGATTGTGTGATGACCTCTGGCGATGGGGAGCTTTCTAGCTTAGGAATCTCCTGATGCAACTCTTCTAGCAGGTGCTAAATTTTAGAAAGACTTTCTTAAAACTGAGCTGGGATGGGTTGACTTCATTAAAAAAAAATTCTGCCTCTAGTTATTCAGCTGCCAGGGACTGCATTCATGCTCTTATCTGCTATACCAGATAAGGCGTCAAGAAGTCTGTGGGGGGTATCACCATCCTCTGTACAGATGAGGAGATGCAGGGAAGTTAGGCCCCAGCCAGAGGCCCTAGGCTGTCAGGTGCCTGAGCCAGGGTGGAATGAAAGATTTTGATTGCAAAGTTCTTCATGCCACTTATCATGGAGCGAGCCATCAGCTTTGTTTACTGTGTGGCTCTAGAGATGTTACTGAGCAGCCTGGCACCTCTCTTCCTCTATTTGTGACTGAAGGATTTGAATGTTCTCCCCAAGCCTTCCGGTTAAAAAACCTGCCCATCAACATTCTGCTCCTGCAGGGCTGATTGAAGCCTTCAGCAACGCTACAGGCGCCACCTTGTGGGCATTAGAACCCTGCCCACCAGGGATGCGATAAAGTGACAATCAGCGGGACTCCTCTGGAAACAAAGGGAAAGGTCTAATTTTTTTCTGCTGCGTAATGAAAGGTCAGGCAGAAATCTTTATGCCCACATCCTTATGAATATAATTCTTGATTTTGTGGCATCAGCTTGGCGCCTGAACAGCCTGGATGTACTTTTTTTTTGAAGATTTATTTTTGTGTGCATACAGAACTGGGGTACAGGCCAGAGGTGCAGGGGCCATGAGAGGCTTCACCAGAGGCAGAGTGGGGAGCAGAACCGGCAGATAGAAGAAGTACATGCTGAGGGGAGCAGCGGGCGGGCCAGGAGAGGTCTGCCATGCCATGTGGGTCACCTACGGGGCAGGCAGGGATTGAACTCATGTTGAAGCGGCTTTAGCTTCCTAGTGCTGTGCTTTAACCTGCTGTGCCACCAGGGAGGGCCCTGGATGTACATTTGATTTTCTTTTAAAAATTGTACCTGACTCAGTTTTTGTGTCACTTGTACCCTTTTATCGTCAATCTCCTACTCTAACATACTAGAGTTCCAGGCATTGAGAAGTTTTGCATAGCAGGGGATTTTGGTTGATGAACTATCTCTGGGTGAGTTTCAGATGGGGGAGGACCCGGGGTCATTGTTCCAGTCCCAGCCCTCATCTGGAGTCAGGACCCTCTGGACACTGACCTTGCGAGCGGATGTTCTGGAGGATGAAGTACAGGTACTCCCCACAGATGCCAGCCGCCTCCACGAACTCCTCCTGTGTCATGCTGCACAGTTGCAGGCCGCTGATATTGAAGTGACAGAAGGAGATGCAGTTGGCGTCCAGCTTGTACTGGTCACAGCAGAACTGGAGCCATTCCCAGACTTGGCGCTTAGTCCAGTACTCTGGGTGGACGGATGTCCAGTAGGAGTCGCAGGCTGCATCACAGGAGAGACAAGTGAGGGTGACGGCCGCCGGGAGAGTCTTTGGAAGGAGGCTCCAGTTACACTAACATCCTCACCCCTTGTCCGAGAGGGTTGAAAGCCCTGGGTCGCTGTCGTGAAAACCACCACAGTGAAAACAGGCGCTCAGGATGCACTGGAGGGCAGGAGGCAGAATGAAAGGGGCAAAACTCTAGCAAGGCTAGGGAGTGCTCAGGCTTCACGCTCATGCTTAGAAAGAGGGTACGAATGGGGAGGGAAAGGAAAGGACCCTTCAGTAATATGGATTCACAGTTCCAGAGACACGGGCTGTGGAGTCTGGCGGGTCTGGGCTTAGAGCTGGTTAGTCTGGGTTTAAAGCTTCCCACATAGGCGAGTTCTATGATATGAAAGCCTCAGTTTCCTCATCTGCAAAGTGGGTTTGATAGGTTAAACTCACAGGGCTGTTGTGGAGTTTGCATTTGGGGTTAATGTAAGCAGGCTGTGTGGTACACAGATTAGCAGTCAATTCAGCAGTGTGTGCGAAGCGCTGTTTGAAGTCAGTTGGGTCCCTTCCGCTGCTGGACCCTCCCCACCATGGCCACTGGCTGACCACCACTGTGTCTGGCCATCTGGTGCCAAGCGCCTTGGGCTGGTGTGTTGTTGCCAAGAGTCTGGCACCACAGATCACAGCAGGTGCCTCTGGGAGCAGGGGAAGTAGAGAATGGGTTGTCATTTTGTTCTTGTGTTTTTGGGGGTATTTTAAGGAGTTTTGACTCTGAGGCCAGAGACCCTTTGCTCCTTCACAGGAGCCCCAAATACAGCCAGACAAATGGGTGCCATCCTTCCCAGAGGTTGGGAAGAGGGCATGCCTGGCCTTAGGGAAGATACCCAGGGTGCCACAGCCCTGTCCCAATGGCAGGAGACACAGAAAGGGTGGCAGACTTGGGGCAGGGAAGAGGTGGGGTGCCAGGCCCTTAGGCTCTTGGGTGGAAGTGATTCTTGCAATGGCCATAGTACATATTCATTTACTCATTCATTCATTTAATAAATGAGCCTTAATTTCCTCATCGGTAAAATGAGAATGGCACTAATATCAGAGGATTGTTCTGTGTATTAAATGTAAATGCTCGTATAAAATATGTAGAACAGAGCCTAGAAAACTTTAAAGCGATTACTACCATTATTAAGGAACACTTACTGTACCTAGCCATACATTGTGCTCCAAGGATTCATGGTGAATACGAAGTTTGGTCCCTGTCCCCTAGAAGGTCACAGATGAAGAAACTGTGGTGACAGTAGACTTGAGTAGGACCCACAGCCAGTGTGGGGTTTGAACTCAAATCTGAACTGGAAAGCCACGGCTCTTCCTGTTGTCAATTTGGTCCTGAGAGGGTCAGCACAGAAGAGAGATGAGATGAGGAAGGAGACAGAGGCAGAGGGAGAGCTAGAGAGGAGAAGG